AGAAAATAAAAATATGATTACTGATATAAAAAAAATTGTAACCTCAAGAGTACATACAGGTACAAGGTATCTAGGTACTCAAAAAATATTTTTTACATTATATGAATTGTAAATTGACCCATAATTTTCTGTTTACATATATATTTTTAATAAATTTTGAATTTGAATTTGAATTTGAATTTATAGGGGTAAGTATAAGTATTAAGTTTCATTTTGTATAAGCTGCGGATGGTTAAAGTTCAAAGTTGAAGGCGATACTCTGAGATCGCTCGATGACTTTTTTTGACTGTAGATTTTTGAGCGTTTGGGCAAGAGATGATAACTAGGAAAAGCTTGTAACACTAACCCACATGCGCATGGCGACAAGTGCATCAAAGCCTCGTGCTTTCTGACCTATAAATAAGTTTCTCATTAATATAATACTCTGTCTATTATAACATCGAAGGCGTCACGAGCATCCACTGTTGACGTCCGTCGCCGCACACCGCATGAGTCGCCAGCGTCGCGCAAGCGTCTCGCTCAAAAAAACATGTGACTGCTCGAAGGAATTGGGATTTTGTCGAAAAACTGACTGAATTCAGCATGATTTTTAATGAAAATGTGAATTTAAAGCGATCGCATGTCTTAGGGCCGGTTTGCGTTTGGATTAGCGGCGAAATGCGGCTGGATCGGGGGCATTTTACGAAGGGGGTGTGCGCAGCGCATTCCCCACTGGGGAAATTGGGTTAATAAGCAGCTAAAGATGAACCTTCTTACCGTTTAGCAAAGGAATAGTATGTCCAGGATGTCCAAGGAAAGATTTAAGACCGCTCTCGAGTAATATGGGTGAGCCACGGTCTTTGTAGCTCATCTCACTATCACTGTCACTATCGAAATTATAAATTGAGCGCGGAATTTTGGCGGTTTTGTTGAGAGGCTTGCACCCCTCGGCCGGTTTACATACGAAAAAAACTCGCGCTAGACGCGATAATAAAAGCAGCTAAGAACTGATTCCGTTTAGTCGGCTTTTGCCGGTACAGTGTAATCAATTCAGAAATAAAATTGTCGTCGTCAGTAGTAGTGCAAGCGCTCTCTTGCGTGGATTCGCGGATCGACTCCACGGCGCGGAGCCGCAGCTTACAGTCCAAGGCTGATAAGGAACCAATTTATGAAAAATGTACATCATCGGGGGCCCGAACGGGGAATTTTCGACCTCAACATAACCTCGGATGCACTTTGGAAAAGGGCTTCTGCCCCAGGTGAAAGTGCACTGATGGAATGCGCAATCGCGCCCGTGCTTGCCGCAGACGTTTCCGGAGTTTCATCGACGGGAGGCCGGGAGAATTCCCCAATACATCCATACAAGGGGTGCCCGGAAACTAGTTCCATTCCCGTCTACCACGCATGGCGGAAATAGCCGAAGAGGTGGCAGTGTCAAGGCTGACGTCAGCACAATGTCCCATTGACCTCCATGTGACGTTTGAGGACGTAGTGAACACGTCACAATAATAATAGTCTGTCCGACTTCACCCCGAATGTCGGTATCTTGTGAGAAGACGATTACGGTTAAAAAAAACTTGAAACTAAACACCCTGAACAACACAGCCCACGAGGAATGACGGCAATTTTGAGTCACCCTGTATTTTACAGAATGATTTGTTTTACTTTTACTTCATAAAATTCCTTTTTGCGATTTATTTCAGATAACGCTGTACCTTCCAATATTTTATTTTTTGTCTACTTCGCTAGTTTTTTGGTTCTAAACAGTGGATATTTTACCAGCGCATGCAGGGGCGGATCCAGCTTTAAAATCAAGGGGGGGGTTATGCAGAAAAAATACAGTCTTCTGTTGTCTATGAAATTAGAAAAATTATCGTCGTTTTGTGCAAGGGTGGCGTAAGATTATTGCGAAATTTAATGTTT